AAGTCTTGTCATCTAATCTGAAGCTTGTGTATGTTAGTGTAACCTTCATGTCAACTGTATGAGAACATTTAATACTTAATACCGATTGGTGGTTTAATTTGCTTCTGTATTTAAAGCAAAAGTACTTACATGCATAACTATGCTTAAATTTGTTACCTGATTTTATGAAACACTGTTTTATTGTGAATCTGAGAAGTCTTGCAACTTAAATCTGGACTTTTCTGGGATTTCCAATAGATAGACGATGTGAATAAAAAATTTGATAATCTGAAGAAACTTCAAGACAATGAGTGGCAACCACTTGATGTCCCGAGCAAAGCAATTGTCAAGGTACGAATAGCCCCTAAAGCGTGTCTCCTAAGGCATCAAGATGCAACACTGTGTTGAGATATCTAAAATAACTAGTAAGCTGCTATTGCAGTAATGAATACTCTTCTTAAATGGAAGTTTCTTGTAAAGCCCTACTCATCTGGCTTCTTTAGATGTTAATGCTTAAAAATTCTGTTAAATTCTTCTCCAGATGCACCCTTCTCCCTTGCATCTCCCAAGTGTACTTGTATTAGTTGGTGTTTGTAATGATAAGTTGCCTCTTTTGGCTAGGAAGATTAGAACTAAGAATTAACAATTACTCTTTTGAAGTCATTGGACTCTTTGCTAGTAAGGGAAGTCTGTTAAATTTAGAATAGAAATTTACCCTTCAGATGTAGAACACTTTGTCTGGGCCACTGGTGTTGGCACTGACTTAACCGAAAAGGAAACCACACAGGAATTTGGCAGTGACTGCCAGTTTTGAGCTGTGAGTGCTAAATTATAATGGTGTCCCATTAATACAATACCATGGGTAGCATTATACTATTGATTCTCTAAGCACAAGTGATTCTGACACTATCCAAAATAAGTTATTGCTCATTGCAAAATAAGCTTTAATGTAAGCTATTTTATCTAGTCTTTGGTTTGAAATGTACAATGGCTTCTAATGACTGAATATCAAGTCATATTCATATTGCCTAAACTCCAAGTTCCTTGCGACTGCTCAACTAATTATAAAAATGATATGAAGGTTGATAAGAAACTCCAGGCCCAGGAAACTGGAAGGAATGTAGTCTGTGTGAGCTGCCCATAAATGTCAGAACCTTACAGATGGTACAAGACACAAAACTTCCTTTGAAGAATTGAATGCCGGGAGAGACTTCACTGGCTGACTGGTGTCTGTCCTGCAGTTACTTTATCTCCCTGCCACTAGGAGTCCCTGTATCCCACTATTTTATAAAATGTTAACTGGCGTTGTTACAAAAAAATTGTACTGAGTATTTCTGAACTGCAGACTTAATATGAAGAATCCTTAATATTGTCATCACAAACTAACCTTAATAGCTGAATGGCAGTCCAAGAGATTCTGGAGATAAACGGAGACCTTGTTTCCAGCCTGCCTGTTGCTGTCTCTATGTGTGGCCAGCAGCTGCGTAGATGTTTGCATGCAATTGTTTCTATCTGAAGCTTCCAGATATGACCTAGACTTTCTTACAATTTCAGAAAAAGACTATTCCAAATGGAGTGTCTAAACCAAAGCTGGGAGCAGCTGGCAGAACTGCTGCCCGAAACCGGCTTGCTGCTATAAAAGCAGCTATGAGGGATAAAATGAACCATGAGGGAGCTGCGGATTGTACACATCGGGGGAAGCTACCAGAGGAGGAAAAAGTGGTTTTTGAAGCGGGATTTTTCAGAATTGAAAGCCCTGTGAAAACCTTTCCAGGTGGGTGAAGCTTAATCATGATTTCTGTGACCTGAAAGTACTGAAGAGAGTTTAACCAATCTCATTGGGGAGAGGAATTATGCTGTTTATACTGGATACAACTCCAGTACTGGACACCATTAATATTTCAACTAGTGGTTAATTACATCAAGGATCCAAAGTAAACTGTTCTACATGAATGTACTGATTTGAGTGATTATGGCAACATGAAATCTCTGCTTAGACAGAGAGGTAAAAGCGGCTGGTTCATGTTTTTTCAGCGCGTGTTTAACAATCAACTTTTAATCTGAGTGTTCCCAGACTTAGCTGACAAAGCTGTTCATCGAAGTCAATGCAGGCTAATGTCCTCTATTTGTAAGACAGGAATTGGGATTTTTTTTGAACTAAATCTCTTGCAGTGCTGTCTTCCAAGCTGCAAATAAAGTATATCTGTAATCTGTATTCATGTTCAACAAGATCGTAACGTAATTCCAGTCTGCTATAAAAGCTGTTTAATAGGTTTTTTCAGCAGATGCTCAAAATGTAACTTTATTTTCAGTATCTGTCTTACTGCAATCTATGTGAAGCCAATACTTTCAGTAATCCTTCAATCTTTGGGAGCCATTCTGCTTCTCTCTCATTTCTAGTTCATAAGTTGACTTTGAATTTTCCAGTTTATTTTTTTGTGTAGATCTCTTTCCTCATCACAAGACTAGCAATTTTTTCGTATGCCTCTTGTTATTAGAGGAGACCTTCTGAAAAGCTTTGAGCAACACTGGGTTTAAGCAAGATACAGCAGAGAATCTGTTATAAGAATCAGTTCTGAATCTCTGTCTTTTTAATTCTGTTAAAATTATCTAATGTAAAAGATGGAAATTAATGACAGCTTTCACTAGATGGACTTTTTAATGAGAACAGCAAGTCTCATTATTTCAGGTTCTTTGTGAAGCGATAGCCATTACTGAATTGGTTAGCCGGAGTTAAGGTAGTTTTGTAATTTATTGACCTACTCTTGTCACCTTTTTTCAATTTCTCCTTGCAGTGTATATAAGATTTCAATGTAATATTTGTATAAGACAGTTCAGCATGCAGAAAACAATAGTGTTCCTAGGTGTATATAAGGTTTCAATGTAATATTTGTATAAGACAATTCAGCATGCAGAAAACAATAGTGTTCCTAGCTAGAATCCAAACAAACAGTTAATTTCATGTTCTGGAAACTGCTGTAGTAATGAAACATTAAACACACTTTTTCAGGCTTGCTTTCAAAGGCACCTCGCAGATCTTCCCAGCAGACTTCTGAAAAACTGGCAACTCCAAGATCATCCAGTAGAGCTTTGCTTCAGAGCATTCCTTCTGTTCTTTGTAACCCTGAGGATACAACTGCAAAACAAACACCACCAGTGCTCAAAGGCTTCCACCCAGCACAAAATTTGAAAATGCACCAATTTCCCACTGGAAAAACTCCCCCACTGGAAAAACTCCCTGGTGGTTTTCTTGAACAAAGGTAGACATCTTAAGGCAGCTTTTAATTAACTTTGTACAAATAATTTTATGGTTTTAACTGAAAGAATTAATATTAATACCCATTAAATGTTATTTTCCAATTTGGCAGTGATAAAGGTTGCAAAGTCCTTGTGTCTTTTCCTTCCCTCAAGCAAATATTAAAACCTTTGCCCAAATGTAATTTTGGTGCTGGGGTAGAAGTTAATTTTTTGCCTGGAAAATTTGATAGAGCTGACCAGTGCCAAACAAGCAAGTATAATTGCAGAACAAATTGCAAATCAAAAGATGGTTGAAGGTGGTTGATGAAGGTGATTGAGAAGAATGAAAACTGTTTGGTTTCTCTTTCAGCGTTTCCATAGTTGCAGAAGAACACAGTCCTATTGCTGGCATAGCAGAGGGAACTAAGGTAACTCCTGAGTAGTTCATTTGTGTGCTTTAAATATTTCATTATTATTAGCAAAAAAAAAGTTCTTTTTGTTAGCCCCAGACACTTGGATTTCTGATCAAATCTCATTTAGATATCTTCTGTATTCCTCAGGTTTTGCTTTTTCCTTCTCCGTATGGACATAGATAGGGACTGCTGCAATTTGGGGACCTTGTCTAGCTCTTTGGGAGCTATCTTTTGTGGGCTGCTGTATGACAACACTTGTTGCTTGGGCAAGCAATGTTCCTTTGAAGTCCACTACCTGTTTTCTGGTGTGAATTTTTTTAAATGCTTTTGTATTTGGGGACCATGACTAAAGGCAACAGTAGTATTTAGCTCCCTGGGTCCTCATGCTGCCATAGCAGAGCATTGGGCTGTTACACTGTTTAAAGGTATAGCAAGAGCAGTGTTACTAATACAAGTATCAGAGTTCAGAAATCCATGCCCTGAAATGTCTGAGGACTTGGTGACATGCCTATGTTTGAGTAGCCTTAAAAAAAACCACGAATGCGGCCTCCATAGTTTAGATGATACTGTGCTACTCAGTGAAAGCCACTGCTTTGCAGTTAATTATCCTTTAGTACCTTTCATTGAAGTGAAATCAAATGAAGTATCTTAATTTTATTTGTTACTGCTTGGATCTGTGCATGACTACAGCAGTCATTTCTTCCCTCCACCTCTCCATATATATAATATATATTAAAAAAAAAAATAATCTTGGTTACTAATTTGTTATTATGCCTTTTACTTCATCCTTTCCCTGACAAATGAGAAATTGCTTGTTGGTGATGTTGCTCTCTGGGGAAAACTGTGGTAATCTCTAATTTTCAGTATGGCTGATACGGTTTTCTTGAGGTAGTCTCATTAGAGAACATCCTCAGAACGTTTTTGGCACTATAAGTTTAAAACCTTCTTTCATGTGGAAGAACTTCCTTTATACTCTCTAAGAGATTACCAAGCTTACAAGGGTGTTTGGGAAATACTTAATGTGAAATGGATCACGATGTTAAGTTGCAAGCCTGTCCTTTGAACAGTGTCTGGAGTTAAAACGCTGTCTTTCCTGAATTGTCTATAAAAACTGGAGATTAGACATATGGACTTGGTTTGACATAACAGGGATGTGCTGGTTTCTGTAAACTCACATCCCTTGAATGTCCTAGCTACCTTTTCACCTTTGCTTTCCACATCAAAAGCTGACAAAGTTCCTTTTATCACAGACAAAACAGAAAATAAGAAAGCTTCCTAGTGTCATAGGTGCTGCCTCATGTCCGTCTGATTTCACTGATGCTTTAATTTTGGCTCTCTGGGAAGCAAATATAGCTACTGCAGACATCTTAGCTTCTCAGAGTGCAAGGAACAGTTAAAATTCCTCTTTTTCAGGTGCTGGAAAATTCTAGCAGTGAATTAAAAGTAACGGATGGCATGGAAGAGATGGAACTATCTGCTACGGAGCAACAAGGACAAGATATTGTCATGTGCAGTCCGGAGAAGGAGACCTGCACAGAGACTAACTTTGCTCAGTCCAGAGAACCAAAAATACATCAAACAGGTGCATATCTTAAAGCTGCTTAGTATAGTTTGTGTGGTATTGCTGGGGCTTTATGATTATTCTAAAGTTTTATGATAGTCTAAATATTGCTCTTTGAAATCACCATCATTAGAGCTTGGTTAAGCTATGTATGCTGTTAGCAAAACCTCCTTTAGCTAGTATGACTTACACGTGTTGCACACAAGCAAACAGTGCCCCTCAGATTTTTTTCTGTATAGTTTCCATGTAATATGTGAAGGAGAAAGCTAATATAAAAGGCTTGAAGTAGAAGTAAATACAGACAGTTTAGGGATTTTTTTTTCAGTAAATGCAGAAAACAATACTGTTTTTTCAGCTTTGGCAGCAGCATCAGACTAACTTTTAAAAAAAAAAATTTCTTATTTTTCAGGTGTTTCATGTAGTGATTTGACATCCATTGGAAGAAATCCTTTTGATATGGTAAGTTGACCTTCAGGTTTATTTGACTAAAACAATCTGCTTGTTATAGTACTGTTAACCTTTCCTACAGAATCAGTTACTGCAGGAAGTAAATTAAACTCTGTAAGATGTTATCAAGCCGATTCATATAACTTACTGTAAGTACAAGCCATGATTCCTGTCTCCCTGCTCGGGCTCACACTGTTGTTCCTTATTGCACATGATGAGTGTTGGATGAATCTAGACATTTGTAACAGAAGAATGTCTGATTCTTGTCAGATTGATCCTTTAAATTATATTTCATGTGGATTTCCTTGTAAATATTTACTAACATAATGAAAGGCCTGGCCTTTTCCTTCCACTTTCTTCTTGGACTTTTCCAGGTCTGTCCCATCCCTTTTTTTCCTTATAGCTTTATCTTTTAGAGCTGGAAGTAAGATTTAACAGGGAGAAGCACGTGTGCAAAAACTTTCAAATTGTTAAAAGAATTTGGATACACAGCTTCCTTTTTCTCATGTGAAAAGTCCTCTTTAAAATATGAATTACTGCTTTAAATGGACCACATATTGACTTCTTATTTTATGTCTGGAAATAAGCTTGCAAAATTTCTCTTAAGAAAGTCATGGTACTTACAGCAGTACTTGATTTTGAACTGTGGCTGTTGCTTTGAAACAGTATCATAGTTAAGCAAGCACGTTTTAATATACTTAGTACATCTACTGAATCGCTGCAGGTTTCAGATCTGCCTGACAGATCCATGCTTTGCTTTTTCTAAAGCTGCGATGTGTCCACGGTACTGAGAGGCAAGAGAATTGCATGCTTCTCCTGTTCCCTTGTCAAAAGCATTTTCCGCTAGTTTTTGTCCCATGATGTTTAAGTGGCCTCTCAAGTAGGCAGGGCACCTGACAGTAATTACAGTTGGTCTGGTGTTTATATAGATGTCATTAGAGAAAGGGGAATTTGCTATTAGCTTATTTCATGTGTTGTTGCAGTGGTGTTTTGCAGAGCAGATGATTGTTCCTCAGCCACTTACTTCATTCTCTGATTTCTCCCACAGCCGATGATGGATGCTGAGCTTCCCTTCACTCCAGTCAAGAGCAAAGCCCAGAAGTTTGCAGCAGCTGAAGCATTCAGTGACCTCATTGTATTTTCTCCCCTTTCTCCCTCTGGGGAAAAATGAAGAGTGACTTGAAATTCAAAATGTGTAAATTATATTAACAAAAAAAACCAGAGAGGATATCTGGAATACAGTCTGCTGCCCTTGAACTGTTCTGAGTGAAAGAATAGCTGTAGTATTTTGTAGCAGAACTTACTAAAATATTATATTTTGTAACATTTTATGGTGCAGTCATTATGCACTGTAAGTGCTGCTGTATATTAGTAGCAGGGTGTTTGCTGGTTATACCTGCTGTATCCAATGATTGCATATTCTGACTACAACCTGAAATATTTTTATTTTTGTATAATTTCATGTATTTCCTGTCTACTTCAAGTTGTAAAACTATTCATCTTTAAGCTTTTCTGTCCTGACCTTACTTTTAACGCATGAATTACTGTTATTATAAGATGCCTATCAGACGTACCTGTGCCCTATTTTTGGTGCAAGGGCACCTTCTAGGGGTAAGACTCAGCCTGTTGCCTCCCCCAAAGCACTGTTCCACGCTCCATCGCTGTTGTGAGGGTACTGTTGCACCCTTAGGCTCCAGGATTCTGTGCATTAACAACTCTGCCTAATCAGCAGATGTGGCAGGGTTTGATGCATGTAATTCTTTCCTGTGGGAGTCTTCCTGGTGTTTAACAACCACTTGCTTTGTAATTGTAGAAACTATCTCAGAACAAGGATTTCAAAGTCAGAAAATATCTTTTCCTGGCAGCGTATTAAAATAGGCATTGATTATTATTTCCTTTAAGGACACAGTTTTCTATTGAATATCTTAAGTACCTTCAAGCCAAACCCTATTGTCTCTTTGCTTTTTCATGTGAAAAATCTCGTAACCTCTTTCTCTGAATGCTTGACATGTTAACCTCAGCCTCTTCTCACATCTTGTTCCTTATGCACTCTCTTATCTGGACTCTAATATATTTATATATAAGGAGCATGCCAGTTATATATACTCTATATTTGAGTAGTAGTATTAGAGTACCTCCAGTTATATTTTTAAGAAATACCTGACTGGGCTTCTTCTTGTAATGATGACCTTCATGTAACACACACATTCTTCCACTAGCTTTTATTTTAAACCAAGCAAATCCCTCAGCAGAAGGCATTACCACTACAGCTGGGGGAGCTCGTTTGACATAAGTTTTAACCTGGAAGCTGTGTACTGATTACACTGAAATAAATAGAGGAAGCTAATGTGACTTGATGTTACTGTGCTGGAATCAACTTTCTTCATTACTAAACTCCAATTACAGGGATAGTTTCAAACAGATAGCTCTAAATGACTTGCCTGCTCTGTTCAGTCATCAACACTGTGGTAATGAGGGATTTCTGACATCTGACATATACATGTAAGCCAATGTTAGCAGTGTGCTGGTCTAGGCTACTGCATCTGCTGGAAACTTCAACACTGTGCTTGTTGTAACTTGGCATCTCCAAGTATAAACGAAGTGACTGTTATAAGAAAATATGAGGCATGTCAAAGAGATCCTTGAAAACTTCAGTAGTGGCTATTGCACTGTTCTTGTTTTGCAGACAAGACCAGGAGAATGACTCACGGCAAAGGGAACATACTTTTTTTTTTTTTCTTTTTTTACCAGTCTGACTCATGAAGTGACCTTGCCAATAAGCTTCCCCACCCTTGAAACCAGTCTTGACTCACACAGAAGTGATGAGGGGAGAGAAGCACAGGGCTCGTGACCTGTTCCATGGAGTATGTAACACTTACACAAATTGGATCTCCCTTGGGAGGGAAGCACGTTCAGACAGGCTGATTTGGGCCACCAGAAAGGCAGAATGGGCCTTTGAAACAAAGGAGAGGGGTAACTTTTCTAGCCATGGTCTGGGGAAGAGGTTTTGCTTCCTCCAGCTCTGAACCCCCTCTTGAAATACCTCATTCTGGTTAGGCTCAGAGGCTCTCAAGTATTCCCTGTTTTCCAGTGTTTCCTAGTGGAATAACATCAGTGAGGCGACACTTCTGAGAATTACGCAGAACCCATTCATAGCCTGATCATGCAACTCCTCCTCCCCAGGAGGGGAACGTAAGTCCTTTGCTGCACTATTTTGATTTCTTTAGTGAAAACGGAATAACTGCTGTACCTAGCAGAGCAACTGAGGCTAAAAATACCAAGTTACTGACTGCTGTCTGGTACTTGGAGAAGATGGGGTTGAAGATTGCTGCCCTTGGTCACTGGACCAGCGGCAGTACGCCACAGGCTGCTTTCCCAAGTGCTCCTCTCCATACAAATCAAACAGCTCCTAGTAGTCATCCTTTGGCAAAGAGGTTCTCTGTCTCTACAGCAAGAATTCAGATACTTCCACATTTGAACTTGGCTTGCTGGAGGATGTCGTGTCTTTTGAGATCTTATTGAAAACAAATTTTACTTGTGAAAGTATGTTTTATTACCTCAAACTATTCATGTAAGAAGGCACTTCTGTTACAGCCATATTAAGAGCACTCAGTTTGCATTAAAATTACACCAGCGTCGTTATATCATGGTCGGCATGACGCTGGTGAGGGTGATGTCCCCGGCAATGCAGAGTTTGGTGATCTCGTTCAGCTTCCTCTCGCGGAAGTTGTACTGCAGCAAGTGAGCATCGTCAACCGCTACCTTGAAGTGATCCACCTCACAAAGGATCTGGAGCTGAAATAAAAACCCCAAAAGATAACCATCAGATTTGTTTTAGGAAGAAGTTTTAAGCCACAAACTCGAGCAGGCTGGCACTGGCTAAAGGCTGCTGCCAGCTGAGTCCAGACCAGTGGTATGTGGACAAGCTGGTGCAGCAACTCTCAGCTGCAAAAACACCGGTGACCTTTGCCTTTCCCAAAGCCCTTCCCCTCCTTGGTGTTTTAGCCCACAGTTTCTGTCTCCTTGTGACTGTGATAGTATTTTCAAGACGCAGTACTGTACGGTTCGTGCAGCGAGAGCTGAGTTCTCACCAAATGTGAACCTATTTTGCAGGAGAAAAAACTCGTGAAGAGAGCTTGGCTGCTAATGGGGGAAATGCTTTATAGAAACCTGCCCAACAACTGCTGCAGAATGACGGTGTAAATAAGGAGGATTTAATAATTGGGAATAACAGAAGTGGGGAGAAGTTATACCCTGGGCACCTGGACCTGCAGGAAGGGGTAAGATGTGCAGGGAAGGTGCCGTAGACCTGCTGCGCTGGACAGCCAGGGAAGCACACCAGGCGACTGCCCCAAAAGCACCCCTGGGAGCCAATTCTTGTGCAAAAGCACCAAGGTCCTTACAGTGAGTCCTGTTACGCAGCCCCGACCAAACCCTCCCAGCTGCTGTTGGTACATTAAGACTGAGTTGGGGGGTTTTTTTGGTACCTTGAAGGGTTTTCCAGCTTCAAATGGAAACCTGGGAGCTGTCCTCTCCTCCTTTCCCCAGTTATTCTGAAACATCGAATTACAGACGATGACTTTTCTGTTGTCTTCCTTAAAGCGGGGATTAAAGTGGAAGGCAACGTCATTCCCTTTCTTGAAATCCAGTGAAAACCTGCAAAGACAATAACGGATTCGCTGATTTTTCTACAAAAGCCCTGGACTCTTACAGGGCTTGCCAAAAGTAGCAGCAAGCGGGCAGAAAAAAAAAAACCCACAGATGCCGTTGGGCAATGACAGGGCATTTACACATTTATTTAGTTTAATATTTGATTTTACACCAGGCAGGTGTTATTCAGGAACAGAAAGCAAATTCCAGCCCCCCCCGCTCTACCCAGCAGCACCCCATGGAAACTCCCCCCGCCCTCGGTGCTGGACACCCCCGGTACCTGTTTGGGTTAGAAAAAAAAAAACCCACAGATGCCGTTGGGCAATGACAGGGCATTTACACATTTATTTAGTTTAATATTTGATTTTACACCAGGCAGGTGTTATTCAGGAACAGAAAGCAAATTCCAGCCCCCCCCGCTCTACCCAGCAGCACCCCATGGAAACTCCCCCCGCCCTCGGTGCTGGACACCCCCGGTACCTGTTTGGGTTGGGGTTGACGGTCCCCGTGATGGTTATGAGCATCCGAGGGACGAGTCCTGCCTGCAGGGGCAGCTCGAAGGGGACTTTCTGGAAGACAACGGGGATTTGGTGTTAGTAAAAAAGCACGTCAAAAGCCAAATGCTTGGGCAGGGGCTGGGTAACAGTGTGACACCGTGACGACCCATGCCACCCGCCCTGGGGACAGCCAGCCCCAGGTCCCTCCCGTGGCCAAAATCAGGCAGTGAAGACACAGAAACCCTTATAATATGATGGAGCCGTTACCATTGGAGGAGCCGGT